GTGTCCCACAAGAGTGTCCTACAAGAGTGTCCCACAAGAGTGTCCCACAAGAGTGTCCTACAAGAGTGTCCAACAAGAGTGTCCTACAAGAGTGTCATTTGGACATATTAGTTTTTCGAACGTGTTTGCATTCGGGTTCGTGGGTTCCATCTTGTTTTTTTGGGGGGGGGAATTCGAGAAGAGAGACATTTTCAAGAGAGGTGTTGAAGGAGGTCGTGTCAGGGAAAGGAGGGGGTTGACAGACTATCAAGGGAATTGGGATGAAGCTGTGCAGCTGCCGGTGAGCTGTCGGGTGATCGGCAAGTTCGAACTTGGCCTGTGACACGCCACGAGACGCCGACAGGGACAGGGACGTCCGTGTTCACATCTGGTCCTGGTTGGACCTTCGTCAACAGCTGAGCCGCGGTGTCTTTCATGTTCTTTTGGAGCCACCGCTGTCGGTGTTTTCGGCGGTGCTGTACGACGATCAGCGGTGCTTCCGCCCGGATCGGCCCGGATCGGCCCCGTCCTGCGCAAGCGTGGTTGCGGATGAACAGATCCACTGGTCGTGTAGCCATGGATGAGGAGACCTTTTTGAGAGTGGCGCATCCATGCTCAGTCCGTTCACTAAGGATTGAATGGCCTGGTGAAGATGACTTCGATGGCTACATCGCCTATGCGTCATTTTCCAAGGCTAACTTGGCCATTTGTTGCGTCTGCAGTTGGTGGTCTACAGATGGGGTGGTTTTATTTGGTGGAGGGTTTTGGGCACACTTGCCCCTTTTTGTTACTTTGAATGAGATCTATCATCACTCCATATCTCACAATAGCACTCACCCGCTGGTATCTCTGCGTTTTGTGGTGTCTGGTTTGTTGGGAAGTCCAGCTCGGCCAGTGCCGGGTGTTTTCGCTACATCTGTCAAAACGACTACCCAATCTTCATGAAGGGTTACCCTCCAACAATCATGGAAGTAAAACTAAACCTCTTTCTTGAAGGGTCCAGAACCGCCTGGCCTCCACTTACGTCCTGTTCACCTCCATCCGACCTTTGCTGCGCAGAAAACAGACCGACCAAGCCAGGTGGATTATCGACAGGCAGAAGGAAAGGTCTGCATCCTCTACGGTCACGGCGCTTTCACCATCGAAAACGTGCCTTGGACCGTTTTGTCTCCGCTGTGCAGGACACATCGAGGCAAAGAGAGGCTGCACAGCTGTCGATGTGCTCCAGCCCAAGCTGAGTCGGACCATGATCCTGTTTGTACTTCACTATATAGTTCAATAGTGCATCTCACGAGTTCGGGGGCCGCTCAACGACTTGGAACAGAAGACTCATGACGTTTTCCACCGATGTCCGAACACTCATCGGAGCAATCTTCAGGTGCGAACGCTCTGCGAGCACAAGTGCAAGAAGGTGATTGTGATGTGCCGGAAACGTGCCAATGGCGAAGTTTCGTCGTGGGGGTGGTGGTGATTTGGATGTTGGGGTAAGGAAAGCTGTCCCCAAGTACGAACCTATGGGAAACAAAGACAACTCTTGGCAGAGTCTTCACAAGGAGTGTTGTTTTGGGTTCTCTCAAAAACAATCTTTAAGATGTGTGCTAACAATGTGTGGTCTTGGGCGCGATTTTCGCAATGAAAACTGGTAGAGGGGCTGAAGGCAGCCGCCTTTGATACTCTGCCAGGATGCTGGAGTATCATGAGAGTATCATGACACCCATTCATGATGACATCATGATGGTTTGCTCTACATCGATAGTCAGTGTTTCCTTCGGAGCAACTGCAGGGACCTCCCTTGATAACTGGATGGAAGGTGGGGCGGGGGCCAAGCCAGAAGTCCCAAAAAGGTGAAAGAAGGTCACTATGTCATTTGGAAAACATCATAAAATAGGAACGAATTTACAGGCTTCCAGGATTTGTGCTTCCAGAATCTCATGTGCTTGGGTTTTCGGAAGATCACTCGAACAAGCATGACGCGGTGTGCAGATTTGTATCATGGCAATTTTTCAATCAGCCCGATCCAAGGCAACCTCTGCGGAATGCGGGTGATGTCTTGGTTGGTCGGCTACTTGGAAATGCCTTTGCCTGGCAATATCTTGCTGGAGGCACGGGATTTGGTGCGGAGCAGACAGTTGAATTGTCATTGAAAAGGAGCCTTTGCATTCAATTCATGTCCATCTTCCTCTTTAGATCCAAAGCTCTTGCGTTTCGCTCGCTGCAGTCTGCAGCTGCGCTGCAGCTGTTGTGGCCCAAACTGCCCTTTTCCGCGGCCGCTTGTGGACCTCGTGGACCTCGTGGACCTCCGCCATGGCGGCGGTCGGGACGACCGGAGATGACTCCAGCCCAGGCACCGGAGAGACTTTGGGCTCAGCGCCTGAGGAGCCATTGCCCATGATCACGATGACCACCTGCCCGTTTCGGCTCAATGATGAGGTTTTGAAGCACTATCAGCTGACCAAGGACTGAGGACTTGGATGAGGACTTTTGAACATTTTTTGAACCAAAGACATCACGAAAGGAAAAAGGCTTTTGCTGGACCAATGCTTCAAAGTAGCAACCCTGTGGCCCCTCATGGCCCCTGCAAGGTTGAGGTCTCATTGCGTGGAGTATCCATGTCACATGACCGGCCGCTTTTTCCTTCTCTAGGAGATTGGCAGAGGTGCGTTTGGATCCGTCTGGGAGGCTCAGGATCGGGAAAAGCCTGATCGCAAGGTGGCCGTGAAGAAGATGCTGATCACGGACGGGGAGCAGGCAGAGGCCTTTGAGAACGAGGCCAAGACCATGATGAAGCTCCATCACAAGAACATTTGCCGACTGTTTGAAGTGTACAGGAAGGGTCGGTTGATGTCCTTCATCATGGAGCTGTGTCCAGGCAAAGATGTGTTTGATGCCATGCACGAGCAGGAGGAGCACACCTTTGGAGAGGCGAAGGTCGCTGACATCATCAAACAGGCGAGCAGCGCCTTGTGCTATGCGCACGAGAATCGGGTCGCTCATCGGGACATCAAACCGGAGAACATGGTCTTTGTGAACCAGGATCCATCCTGCACTTGGATCAAACTCATTGACTGGGGGTTGGCCTTCCATTTTGGGAATCGGAGGCTCAAGACCGTCGTGGGCACTCCCGGGTATTGTGCCCCCGAAGTGCTGCAGTCTGGCACGTTTTTCAACTCGAGCTATTCCCAGGCCTGCGATATATGGAGTTTGGGCATTACGACCTATGTGATGCTCTGTGGAAAGATGCCCTTCTTCGGCGCTCAATGGCAGCAAGCGAAAATGATGAAGAAGGAACAATTCCCCATGCAGGACGCCACTTGGCAAGCCATTTCTCCCGAAGCCAAAGACTTTGTGAAGAGTTTACTTCGATTTGACCCGAAGAAGCGGGCCCCCTTCGACAAAGTCCTCAAGCACCCCTGGTTCACGGTGCACAGACAAATATCGGAGATCTCAGCGCAAGCGGCGCAACAGGTGTGGCTTAAACCGTTTAAGTTTAAAATCTGGTGAAAGTAAGCAAGTGGTATGTGGTCGAAGCTAAGTAGGCCTTGAACCTTGCTTCAAAATGCTTCAAAACCACCTGGAGGTGCTACGGAACATGCAGAACTTCTCCCAGCTGGGTCACTTCCATTCCATTTGTGTGGCGGCAGTGGCCAGGCAACTGGACAGCCACAACCTCAACGACGTGCATCGGATTTTCTGCAACCTCGACCGGGACGGGAACGGCGTCCTCACCTTACAGGAGGTGAAGGATGGCTTTGAGAGCATTTTGCACCCCGACTCGGAGGAGGGAGAGCTCCGGTGTTGAGTGCTTAAGCAGGCGCCCGGCCTGCTAAGACTTAGCCAAGTAAGACCCTTTGACTGTAGAGTCATTTTCTTGGCGTCTTGATCAGTGTGTATTTGGTAAAATACAAGCCACATCCTAAATTGTGTTGGCAAAGTACCCACGACTCTCAACCGCCATGACTGTGGACTCTCAACGCTGCGAGAACGCGGCAGGAGATGTGTCTCCCAAACGCATCACCCAGGGTGGTCGTCCGAATTGGGAAGAGCGTCATCTTCTGTATAGTAGTCTTCTAGTTTCTGAACACCTCCCCGCTTCGCTGTGTTTCTATTTTGCTTTGCTGATCACATGTATGTTGCGCTGTGCTTTGGAGCGCACTTGGGTGGAGTTGTTTCTTTCTTGCTTTGTGTCCTTCAAAGTGTTCCAGAGAATGATTTGCTGCATTCACGTGGAGGATACATGGGCACACGTCAGCCGTCACCCGCGTCAGCGGAGGGCCGCCGTGAAACCGCTGTCAGACAGGTGTGGGAATGGACGTTCCAGGTCGGCACATGAGGAGAAGTCTAGGGAGTCTAGGGTTTCTCACCCGCTTTTGGCGTGGAAAACCCAAAAAGCTCTCTCCTGGCCCGACCCCCCCGCTGGATGGATGGGTTGAGCGAGCCAAAACGGAGGCAACGAAACATGGAGCCAGATGAACTCCATGGGCCCGCGGGTCGGCATTTTCGGACTGGGCTTTGGGAGGGAGCATTCATAGCTCTGTCGCTTCCAGTAAAGTGGAGGTGTGACTCCGTAAGTTCGATCCTTCGAGTGAAAAATGGGAGGAGTTGAAGCAGTTGGAGCGGATCTTTGCTGAGTTGGACATGGATGGCAATGGCTACATCGACTACACCGAGTTCTGCGCGGCCGGCGTGGGTGAGCGTGTGGTGCTTGAGGACTCCGCTCTGTGGGCGGCCTTCGACTCCTTTGATGCAGGGCACCACGATGGGCAGATCACGTTGGATGAGATCGCCCGGGTGCTGGCCGATGCCAATGTGCAGCAGGTGTGGTCCAAGGAACAGCTTGAAGAGGCTGCGAAGAAGGCCTTGGATAAATTCGACAAGGATAAGAATGGCAGCATCACCTTCGAAGAGTTCTCGGACTTCATGAGGGCCGAGACGAAGGCCCGCCGGAAGGCGCGGGCCCGACGGTCGAGCCTCTTGGGGGACATGAGCGAGGAGACTGAAAAGATTGAGGAAGAACTGGCAGATGTCACTGACGTCTCCATCAAAAATCAAGGCAAGGTGTACGACTTGGTGGATCAGATGAACCCCGAGAGGAAGTCCTGGCGCAAGTGGCTATGGACAGGGTTTGTCTGGATTCCACTGCTGTGCTGTGTTTTCACTAGGATTTGAGAGATTCGAATTTAGAGACCTGGGTGTTTCAAACATGAAAACGGAAGCTCCAGGCTCAGAGTGATCAGTTGAACCCTGAGGAACACCATCACCTGCAGCTTGGGCGGTCGGGTGGGAGTTCCCACGTCCCTGCCATCTGCACCTGCAGATGTCGACGATTTTGCGGCGCAGCCTCGCATCTAGGAGAGAGCGCTTCTCACCCCTTTTAAACCCAACGGTGTCAGACATAAGATCATGACCGACCTCGGTTCCGACCGGCCAATTCATCGAGCGTGTGAGAACAGTCGACCGAGGTCTCTGTCAAAAAGCGGACTGATTGGACCGAAGGGACGGAAAGCAGATACACTCCCGAAAACTCACCTGGAACTGAAAAAAAAACCTGTTTGTAGATGTTTGTAGTGGATTTCATGGTCTTCCGTTCGGGGCCATTCTCCACTTCCATGTTAGTTCCAGGGAGTGTATGTCATGATATATGTTTCCAGCCTGTTTTCGGCTGATATTCGTCCCAGGTTGTGACGTTTGATGTTGCAATTGGCAGCAATAAAGCCCTTAGGGTTTTCCAGGATGCATCCATTCATCATTAGCTCATGTTGAAGCGAGGAGGGAAAACCACATGTGAAGAGGGGACATGGATCGTCCAGCTGCCGACTGTTTGCTTCCAAAAGCAATGGACTTTAAGAGTCACTGCAAGAATCGGGATAGGTACGACATTTGATTGGTGACACGTTGATGAATTCCTCGGTGGTGATCATCAAAGCCCACTGACTACCCAGGGCGAAACAAGTGGACTTGTGGGCATGAGTTCCGAGCCAGCCAAACAGCTTCATCACTTTCGGAAGTGTAGTGCTGATCCTGCACCGGAAGAGCCAAGAAGAGAACCTGTCCATCCATTGTAGAGGGTTCATTCTTGGCACGGCGGGGTCCACGCTGCAGGGCATGCAGAAGATGTATGACCTCGTAGGTGTGGGACCCTAGCCCAGCTGACCAAGTTCCGTGCCTAACACAGACACACACACACACACACACACATGCACACTTATGGAGATGCGTGCTGACTTGACAGCGGTGCCACACACCACCTAAGAAACCCAAATCCTGAAAGGTCCAGGAAAGCCCTAAAGAGCCTGGGGGTCTTCAATAGGAAGTGAGGCCCAAAACGTAAGCCGGAGTCGGAGCGACAGGTTGACGTCGTACGTGCACATCTGCAGATGCATTAGACCTTTACCAAAGGTTAAAAACTTGCAGGTACGCCGAGTTGATCAGACTCGGTATCCCGTGATTGTGGTAGCTTCGTTGAGTGTGGTCCCACAATCACGCCGCACTCCCCTGCTCATTGGAAAAGGAGAACAACTCAATAGAATCCCTGTGACTACAAGGGGCACACGCACACGCCTCCCCAAGGGGAGGCAAAAAATTAAGGCTAGGACAACTGTGTAAATGTGCGCGCAGCAAAGACAAGAGGATGAAGACATGAGAAGGAAGACGAGACGGGACAAAAGTGTGTGTGGTTGCGATGAAAGAGAAACCAAGTGCACAGGGACAACCGATGAAACCCACCTCATTGTCAAGACCTGGGCGACCTAACACCTGAGTTGAAACTAGATGTGCGCGTACACACTAAGGCCCGGACCGTTGTACGCGCAAAAGAGCGAAAGGAGTGAGATGAAAGGACATGAAGCAAGGGAAGACATGAAGAGAAAGAGGAAAAGAAGTGTGTGAAGGGGAAAGGGTGAAAGGGGAACCAAATGGAGGGGACGGGAACCGATGAAACCAGACCTCATTACAACAACCTAGGAAGACCTGCCTCGTTAAAGTGTGTACGATGTATGTGCACCTAAGTGTCCGACAGGTTCCAATGAACCTTGAACAAGCTTCGGTCGCTGCGACCACGTACGGCATGCCCGAGGGCGGCCACCTCTGACCGCTGCGGTCACGTAAAGGCATGAGCCAACTTGGGATTCCAAAGATGGGACAAACATCCAAATTCTTGCGGCGTAAGCCATCTGCTGTCCGCTCCGGACGCCTACGTTCCCAAAGCCGGGGAACATGGACAGACACCCGTTCGACGGGTCCACGGGAGGCACTACGGGCTCATCCCCGACTCTCACTGGGAGAGACACACTTATGGAGATGCGTGCTGACTTGACAGCGGTGCCACACACCACCTAAGAAACCCAAATCCTGAAAGGTCCAGGAAAGCCCTAAAGAGCCTGGGGGTCTTCAAGAGGAAGTGAGGCCCAAAACGTAAGCCGGAGTCGGAGCGACAGGTTGACGTCGTACGTGCACATCTGCAGATGCATTAGACCTTTACCAAAGGTTAAAAGCTTGCAGGTACGCCGAGTTGATCAGACTCGGTATCCCGTGATTGTGGTAGCTTCGTTGAGTGCGGTCCCACAATCACGCCGCACTCCCCTGCTCATTGGAAAAGGAGAACAATTCAAAGGAATCCCTGTGACTACAAGGGGGACACTCTGACATTGGTTTTCAGTTACACTCAATTCCCAGGTAGAATGGCGAGGGAACGGAAAGGTGAGAGGGTCAGTGCACTTGTATGGTTTTAACAATCTGTTGACATGTCTGCGGTGGCGAACATCAACGCGGCTCAGCTGCAGGACAAGCGGCAAAAGAAAAGGTTTGTGGGAAGTATCATGCAAACCACCATGAAACAAACCGCGGAGAAGTAGGGTGACAGCTTGTGAAGCACTCTGCAGGTACATGGTTGAGCGTCCTCAACCACTTCCCTTCCAGTGACCCAGCTTCGTTGGATCAGGTTAGTCACTGGAAGCCTGATCCCCCTGCTTGTGAAACGGTTGTGAAGGTGGAGGTGATGGCGAACCCTTGGCCCAGGGGTTGACACACACACACACACACCTCCCAGAGTTTGGAGGGGCCCAAGACCATGATCTCTAGATTTCTTCATGTCTTCTGGTTCTGTTCGTGCACCCATCGAGTCGGCGTGAACGAGTTCGTGCAGACTCGACGTCTTGAGGATTCGATTGTTGGTCCGCTCACTGTGCCTTCACCTTAGTTGTCGGTTTCGTGACCTGTGCAGTTCGTGGCAGATTGAAAGAAACAGTGACAGGCCATGTTTGCATGTTCCGAAAACCGAACGTGAGCGTAGCTTCGGTGCCGTAGCCTTTCAGGTCAAGACCGACGACAAGCGCAGCTTTGCACACGTGTCGCAGAAGACGGCCTTTGGTGTCACTCGGCATCGGGCACGTTTTTCGGCGCGGCGCGAGACCCTCGCGGTGCAGCACCTGCGGCAGCCCCCTCTTTTTGCGGCTGTTCCGATGAAAGGTGGGAGTTTTCTTCCCAAAGAGCCGGCGAGTACCCTGGCTTTCCACTACTATTGAACTTGCTTTTCAGGGGCTCCTCACGAGATCTTTCACATGAGATGGTATCTTTCACAGGATATTTTGGAGATGGGGATGCTGTGGAACTGACTCTGCAATGTCAATATGAAACATGATATAAAGTATCATTACTACATATATAATCTATTATATACGGTATTGTTTTGACCATTGTTGGTGGTCGTCACTTGACCTTTGGCGGGGCCCAGAATCGGTGTCTTGTCAAACGAAATTGCTTTGAACTTGGGGACCTCTTCCCAAGCATTCTTTTGGACTGTTCAGCATTCTTTCAGGGTTGGAATGCCACTTGCAAACCAGAAACGGAAGACACAAAGTATGAGACAGCTGGAAAAGCCATGCAATCATATCATGCAATCATATCGTTTTTCAGCAAACCATTCAACATTGTGTGCTGAAGAATCGAGCTATCTAATTCTATAGTTTTTTTCTTTGTCTTGACGCCAATCCGTGCTTTGGGGCGCCAGGTGCCAACTGGTGGGTCAAATGATTTGGACCCAATCCAGGGAAGTTGCCATGGGCCCCTGTTGTCCAAGTCCGAAAAGTTCCAGGGCGGGGGCGGTCCAGATCCCGATCTAGCGAGAGACACAGGAGCGGTCAAGCACTTTTTGGAGTGCGTTCACCGGTTTTTGGGGGTGTTGACACTTCTATGTTTCAGCATGTTTCGGGCCCACCTGAGGGTTCCACTAGGTGGGCCCGAACCAAAACTGCAGGGGCGTTGGTCACGCTCGAACACGGGGGTCTGACTTCGTCTAGTGAGGTGACTGACGTCTACTTCCTGGCGGGCTACTACGGCCTCATGGAGGTGCTGGTGGATGAAATCAAACGCTTGACCACCAACGGATGCTTGGCGGATGCTGGCGACTTTTTTGCGGAGACAGAGAGACAGATGGGGGCGATTTTTCACAGAGCAGGTGCAGACATGCAGATGGGAGACCTGAATCTTCTACGTCGCTACGCTCGAAAGAGGAGGTATCTTCATCTTTAAACTAGACATGTTCAATCACTCTTGTGTATGACGAGGCATGCAGGAACGTCTGCTCTGGGAGGTGTTCGGAAGTTGCTCTCTGTTGTCAGGAGGATGCTGTTCGATGATGTTTCGAGACGAGCTCGCGCCGAGACGAGCCGAGCGATGGCCGAGGTGCACAGACCAAGAAAGGCAAGAAGATCAAGTGCGAAGTCATCCTGAAAGCTGTGTCTCGGCATGTCTCTGCTCACATGGGTGGTGATCAAGAACGGTCTTGGCTCCTTTTGGAACCTATAGATGTAGACGTCTGATCAATACCCCCTATTTAAATCGTTGTTATTAACCAGCAGTCTACATCAAGACATCGTTCTTTCTTCACCAAAGTGATGCTTGATTCCCGGGCACTACTTCACTTCGCTTCACTTCGAGAGGAGGCCATGATCCACCTTGAATCGGCAACAAAAAGAATCATATACCTTCGAAGCGTTGTGGCCTCCGATGGCGGAAGGTGATGGGGAGTCGGGACAGACTCGTCGAGTTCGAGCACCTTTCAAGCGGGCCACGGCAGTCAAGCGGACCAACATCCACATGAGCCAAGTGAGGACCTCTCTAACCGCTCCATTGCCAGGGTTTCGTGAAACCTGACGTCAAGGTTGAAACATGTTGAACTCACGAGATCACTGGCTCACTCGGCTCGGGCCATCATGTTCCCAACACGCTGACTCGGGCCATTTAGAAAAACACACATATATATATATAATATTAATCTGATCCTTCCGGTGCTTCATTCGGTCGAAAGTCACTAGACTCTAGAGGAAATCCTGGTTCACTTTCCCATGTTAATCTTCCATCGTCTTCACTCTTCCTTTGGAATTGCTTAACTCAAATTTTACAGGTTTGTCATTAAACCTTCACCGCTTTTCTTTCGTCCGTTCCTGAAACACCAGGTGGGTGTGATGCCGGACCCGGCGATTGACAAGATGTTGGGCCTCAAGGCGCCACGAGCGATTTTTGTTCTCGTTTTTGGGCGGTGTTTGTCTTTTTCTTCGAGTTCTTCCACGAATCTGCCGCAAGCCATTGCCGCAAGCCATTGCCGCAAGCCATTGCCGCAAGCCATCGGGAGAGGTGCAGAGGTGCAGGTGCTAGGTGAATCACCAAGCATGGGTTCGAGGTTCCAGGTGAGTTTCCGTTCCAGTTCCGGTGAAAACATCAAGCTGGGTTGCTTCCATGGAGCTGAAAGAACCCATCGGTCTGATGGGTGAGAAACACCACGCCCAGGAGCTGGTCGGCCTGTGGGTCAATGGCGATCCCTTGCGTTCGGTTTGCTGCAATGGCGGCCGGGACGAAGGGTAGGTACGCGGATCGAACGAAGGGTCGGTTTGGCTGGGAGACATGTGGGAAGACATGGTGGGTGTGTCTATTTAATAGGGGGAGCTCCCAACCAATGGGTAGACTGGTCTATTTTCCGTTGATTTCCAACCCGGGAGGTCTCCCTGTTAGTAATACACACCGGTCCACTTTGGGAGCAGGACCGGACCCGACGTATTGCGAGCAGGACCGGACCCATGCGCCGCAGATCGTTGCCACGTGGGGTTAAACTGGTGATGAAGCTCCCAGGATGAATGAGTTTGGAATTCCCGTGTTTCATTCGCGGAATTCAATGAGTTTCGGACGAGGAATGAGGGCTGAATTCTGCACAATACTGTGAAGGAGGACGTACGCTGAGACCGAGACCTGCGTGGTAGCTGATCTTCTTTGCTGCTGACCACCTTCCCTGATAGGCTGTGACTGACCATGTTCCAGGGATCTACCACACCCAACTGCAGTCCTTTCCATTAGTTTCCCTGCATTGCAGCCTGGTTAAACCTCACCTCCATTTGTTCAACACAGTGATCAACCTCCCTGGTCGATGATGGTCAGGATTGCAACATCCTTGCGCAACTGTCTTTTTCTTAGGCACGAACAAGGACTAACAAGCACGGCAGGCACCCTGTGTTCCTGAGGTTCTTCTGTTTTTTTGATCGAAAAAGACCCGCTTGATGAGTTGAGCACTACCTTTTGACGCCCATTTCGGCCACCGCCTTGGGATTGGGTGCAAATCGACTTTTGGGAATCCGCGGATGCTCTTTTTTCGGGGACAAAACCATCCGATAGGTTGGTCCTCCCTTCGTTGGTCACGTTGGCCAAAGGTTGGATAGAATACATGGGTCATCCAGCTCGGAAGATGCGGTGAAGGTCTTCATGTTTGAGACTTGTTAGAACAAGATGTGTTGAAGTCTTGTTCTTCCAAGAAACCAACATGTTTGTTGAAGTCCTCTTTCTTGGGGGGGTCGTTCACGCACGCAGGGGGGGATTCCAAAACACAAGAAAACGACTTCAGTCCACCTTTGGACGTGCAAAACCCAGCACAGAACGAAGTCCCCATGCACCGAGCTCCAGCTTCGTCGATCGCACCGGTTTTCACGGCGAATCCAAGACATCGGGTTTCGCAGCGAAGCTCGCAGCTTCCTGTTCTGCCGAGACATGGGTGGCATGGATCGGAAGAGGTTTTTCCTACTTTCAGCGGATGAGAGCAGCGGTGAACATCCCACAGCTGAAACGAAGACTGCTCGTGCGCGGCACGTGTTCACCATGGTTTTCTTTTTTTTAAATTGCGGCTGCGTGTGTTCTCCCATCCGACCTCGTGGTGAACCGAACCCAGTTGCCGTGACTCTGAGCACCCAAGGCATGTTTGTGGAGGCTCAGAATTTCGGTTCTTTTGCGTCTGGTCCTCCCTTCGCTCAGCTTGTTCCTTGGCGACATTGCTTGGTTAACCAATGTCTGTATGTGTCTAGCTCCAGAGTGGAATACGCAGAATCTGAGCAGTTCTATTGATCTTTCTGTGGCCTGTACTTAAAGAAAAGTCCCACCAAAAGCGGATGTTCCGCCTAAATTGTCACTGCATGGTGACTTGCTGATTGCTTTGTTTATTTGCTTGGTCGCTTCAGATCGACTTTAGCCCGAACAGGCCGAAGGGTGATTTGCAGTCGACATTGATCGACCATTTTGACACGTGAAGAACAATTGTTTCTGCAGACATCAATCTTCAACTTTGCAGAAATCACTTGATCAACAGTTGTTACATAGGTTTGTTACTTTGCAGACATCAATCTTTCTGCAGACATCAATCTGCAGATGTAACAAACCTGCCGAAATCAATTGTCTCTCTTGGTTTCCACATCGAATTGGTCGTTCTTCGGTCTATTCTGAACTTGTTTCCGACACGCATACAGGGTATGTCAACCAAACACATTCTTGGCTGAGGTGCTGATAGCTCATCACTTTCAGATGAACCGTGTAAGTCAAAGACTCCGCATCAGGTCCACTTGGAATGTTTGTGATAAGTCCACCAAAGGTCTTGTCTTGGACCACTTCAACATTCTTCAACTGTTTTGTGGCCGCAGTCCAGCCGCAGTCCGCAGTGACTGCGTCATCACATCCACTTCCACTTCCACAAAGGCTCGGGTAACTCGATGGTTCGTGGATTACCCCACGGACTTTGAGACCATCAGGGGCACCCTCCCGCTCCTCGGCCAAGTCTACCGTTTGATCGGTTTTGGCAGTCCTGCCGACCAGTTTTGCAAGCTTGAAGGTTTCGATGGGAATCGACAGGGTGGCTGAGGGTCGCACTTTTCAAAGGTGAGGTCTTGGAACATTTGGAACTCTATGATTGTCGTGAGGTAGTCCAGATATGTCCAGATGCGGTAGGCGGTGTTGGGGTATGAGGCAGAATTTGTTGTGAGGTAGTCCAGATATGTCCAAGGCAGTGGAAGTTCTGTGTCCTGTCGGAGAGGTGTTGTTCTCCACTCAGAGTGGGATAAATGAACGCACTCCGAACAGGCTATGTTGGTATTGACCATGATGTTTGCTTGGAAGAGAACCATATGTGCAGCTAGCAGCTCCTTGGGGAAACAAACCATATCTGGAACACCCATCCCTACAGATTCCGATCGCCTTCATCGCTTCCGGGTCCACCCCACCCATGTCCCGCGTCGCCGAATCTCGAGCATCGGATCGGGTTCGCCGCATCGGCAGGAAGTTGACCGGAAGTCCCGAGAAGCCAGCGTATGTGCCGACGGCGACGCACATGTTGCCCACCTTTAGCTGTTTCAACCTCATCCCAATGCTTGCGGCAGAGATGGCCGTCTATGGCGCGCGTCTTGGCATGAGTATTGGGGAACATCGGGGAGGGAAGGTAGGCAAGTGGGTGGATGAAGGAGGGCTACTTGGATGGCTTGGACCGCCAGGCCATCAGTCCACTATTTTTCGTTCGGTGCCATATCAGTGAGCTCTTTCCCCGATCGAGCCATGGATCGACGTTCCAAGCGATCACGGATCGATGTCGAAGCAACGGTTGCAACGTACCACCGGACGACCACCGGATGGTTCGACTTTTCCCGCTTTTCCCATATAGAAGAGATATAAGCGACCACGGCGTTGACCGGACGATGGTGAAGAGAGTATGTTCAGCTTTGAAGAGTTTGGCAAACACGTCCATCTCAAGTTGTGCCCTCATTCCCCTTTCTCACCCAGACTTTCTGAAGTCTTCTCATCTCACGTGGACAAATAAAGGTACCAGATGTTTGATGGGTCGCCACTTCGAAATGACTTGGGGTTGTCACTTCGCCCAGGTTGAAGCACACCAAGCAGATGGCGAGACATCCTCCCAAGCAGTACATCGCCGAATGCCGAGCGGAATGGGAGGCCCGCTTTCGGTTGGACGACGAGCCCCAAATCCTTCGAAGCCTCGTTCCACCAGAGAGCGATAGGGCCCTCGTCGTCTTTTTGTTGGATCCGTATAGCTTGAAACTTCACCCGGACAGCTGAGGGACGCCTATACCTGAGGTTCAGCGCCCAATTCAGGATCAGTCCCTCCATCCTTTCCTCATGCAGCACGTACCCTCATCTCACACACATCCTCCTTCCAGAATATCCAACGTATAACTGGCTGGAGCATGACAATGTTTGAAACCACAAATGTTCCCCAAGCCAAACATAGCCAGTCTTTGCGAAGCCACCTCTTGGGGTCGGGATGTTGGGATAAACTTAACAGACAGGCTATCCTGTGACAGCTCTGTGGGCCATTGCGGGGATTTGCAAGAAGTTCCTTCCCCATTTCTTCATGGCTGACCCATCGCATCGCCGGAATCGGATGTCTTCCCAGACGCCAGCAAATCAATTGAGCAGTCAGGCCTACATCAGGCAATGGAAGAAGGATGGGATGATTGATGACAGCAAGCCAGAACCGCCTCAGACTTGGAGATGAGGTTCTCACAGGTAGACCATTTTCTTGACGCGCAGATCTGTCATGATGTTCCCACTGTTTGCCATGATTGCGTGATGAGGGAATTCCAACATAACCTGAACCTCACTGGTGAAGAAAGAGTACTAGAAAGAGTGGGATGAACTATGAGAAAACCCGTCTCTATCCAGTTAGGTATCTGTGGATATCTGTGGTGGTCTTGCTGCTTCCTTCAGCTGGAGTCCCATCCATTCTTCCCATTCTTCCAGTTACCGATCTGCAGGGGCCTTCTGCTTAGTAGCTCCAGTCAGTGGACACACAGCCCGGTCAGTGACTGGGAAAGTGAGACTTGCACTGAAGAAATCACCCTTTCACCGGGCCTTAAAACCCTCTGACATCACGTGCCTTTCTACCTGTTGATGCTCTCCCACCTTGGTGTTCGGATGAAGTTCATCTGGTCTCCGGTGTGTCTGTGATGCGTTCTTTCTTCCAATTCGCCGCCGGTGTAGAAGTTGTGTGCCAGTGCAGATTCTGTCATGTGTTCTTTCATCTCACTGTTCATCCAATTCGCCAAAACGAACGGTGTCGTTCACCCACGTCGCTGTGTGGCTCGGCGACGTTCTTCGTGTGGCTCGGACTGAGGCCGTACCCGTACACCGAGACGATGGTTCAAGGTCGCTTGGTGGATGAGACGGTTGCTGATGGCGAAGGGTTGGGCCTAGCAGGTGTGGCGTTTGGCTGGCCGCTGAAACCTTTGAGATCTCGGGGGTGTGGGTTCTTAGCAGCCATGTAACATGGCTGCTCACACGCTAAAATAGCCCACAGAAAAAGGAACACTTGTGTTTCTGCCCATGTCTTCATCTTCAAATCAACTCACTTTGGCTTGGAAGGACTTAGATTCATGGAGCTTCACATGGACTTCATGGGCCAATCCTGAGGTCTGTGCACTCGCACCGAGGCTGGATCGACCGCACCAACATGGAGTGGATGCAGAAAGCCGCACGCCAGCAGCAGCGGTGCCTCGGCGAGTGGGTTTCGGCGAGTGGTTTCGGCTTCGGCTGAGGCCGGGCGGGTCAAATGGAGGTGGCTCAAGTTCTTTGAAGACCTACGACAGACTCGTGCGACTCGCATGAACCACCCATGTAACATGTAGATACCTCAGGATCCAGCCACCCCTTATTCCTTACTTCGTCGCACCAGTCAGACGATCTGGGCACATGACTGGTGCGATCCGGGAAGAAGAAAACATGGCACTGTCGGCATGAACCTTTGACGTGGACGGGACGTGGGTTTGCGAACGAAGTGCTGCTGGGGGGTTTTGCGAGGGTCATAAACGACTGCTGCTGGATGATCAGGATCCTCTCGCTATGTCTGATGGTCCAATGTGATACTCATGATACACCAGGTGTTCCACCGCCGTCCCGTCTTCCCAAAGCTGTGTGGCGCATGGATGCTGATCGCCCAACCTTTCAGGTTGACGAACTACTCCGAACACCAATCCCAAAAAGATAGGGCCGTTCACTCTAGGTTGACGCCACATGATTTGTCTCGTTGTGGGTGTAGTGGTGTTTGAGCATGAACTGGGAACTTGGGTCAAACTCAGAGTATGTATGCATATACTAGGGATTTACATATAGATGGCACAAGTAAAGGTACACCAATATGCCATCACCCATGAGGTGTAGGGAGGGTGAGTAGAACACAAAAACGGCACACCATGCGGAATACTTCCTGAATAACGTGTGCCCAGAACATATTCATGGCCTTTTAGGTGGCATATGCAGGCTATCTATTGAGAATTGGCAAGGGAAAAATACAATTAACATGGAAGAGAAATGAGGGACCAGGATAAATGTAGAGGAGCTAAAATGGCACATGAGAGGGGATGGGAAGGGAGACATGAAGGGGGGGAAGGGAGAGAGAAGGGGAAAGAAGAGAGAGCAGACTAACACGAAAGAAACTTCAGAAGGGAAGAAAGAGCAGAGCAAGGAAAAGAAAAGAACCTAAGAGACAAAGGAAAGAGGAAGAGAAAAGCAGGAAGCCGGAGAAGGGACCTCCTTTGGATGCTTATTGGAGAGGGAAGGGTAAGAAGGGGGAGAGGTGGGAGACCTGGGTGAATGGAGGAACACTAAGATGGCACATGCCAGATGATGAGAGGGGAGACTGGAAGGGGGGAGATAAGAGGGACCTCTATATGCACAGCGATGCCATTTGTAAGGAGCTGTTCTGAGCATTTGTACAGTAAAACCTTCCGGTGGTCGACTCCAGATACTATGGATCAGGCTTTTGAACAAACCTTGTACTGGTGGTGGCAGCAGTGAAGTGCATGGATTGGGAAAAGGCAGTGTTTTTGCATTGTTGTTCCTCTTTCAAGGTTTTCACGGTTTTCGAGGTTTGAAGTGTGTCAGATGCAATTTTTACCACCCTGTTTGCAAATGCAATCTTTTCGCTAATTCCTATATATTATATGGAACATATATACTCTCTATATTATACTATATATTATATTATATTGTATTACATTGCATTATATTATATTACATTATATTATATTATGCTTATTCTATTTTATGTATATATACATATTATATGAATTTGTGTTGATATGCAGATGTCCTGTGTATCAACAAGATGCTTGCTGTTTGATTGGAGATTGAGATATCCTCAAGTAGGTTGACTGTGGCATGACCCAGACACATGAGTTTTCGGGCTTATGGCTGACGGACTATGGACTTGTGATGTTTGACATGCATTTCCATCACCCGGGCACGACATCACTGGGTACGCTTGTTTGTCCTCCTTCACCCATGAACATTCTGCACCGCATTCTTTGAAGTGAATTGTTGAAGGCCTTCGAGGTCACTTGGGGTCGCCTGCGGCAGGGCCAAAGCCGGTCCTTTCGGCAGCGAACTTCACGTCCGTGAGTCGGGCGTGCCGCCCAGGCTGGCCCAAGCGTGAGATGCACCGCAACCGCGACCGGTTCGCGGTGACGGCGCTGGCATGTCGCGTCGCTTCCGAAAAGTCCGTGCCGCTGCCGGGTGGTGAGATGGGCGGGTGGGTGGGTGGGTGGGTGGCCTTAGCACCGGAAGTGGGTGGTCTGAGCACGGCGTTCAGCTTGAGGTGTTGGTGATTGGGTTGCGTTGCTTCATTTTGGGCAACCCCGGGGTGTGGCAAAGCGTCTAAGTGTCTTTCAATTGGCAGCAAGTTGAGTGAACGGATGTACAAAGAGACAGGCCTAGCAATCTAGCCCCCAATAAACCCTCCAACATAGTGGTGTTCTTTGGCGATATTGTTATGAGGCAATGGTCAATGGTTTGAAACGAAATACTTCCAAACACGGATCGGTGCACAATCTCAACTGTTTCATGCCAATTTTCTCTTTGTTAAGGGGAACCTGGGAACTGATCTTACTCTGTGGTGTCTAAGAATTTTCAATGTCCAGAGTCTCCAGACCCACCAGCGCCTGATGGCCTGTCCACATGGTCTTTTCTTGTGTCGCAAACTGAGGAAATACATCTACATTTATGACTCGCAAGGCACAGAGTGCTGCTCTCAGATCATCTGACTCGCCATATTTCATGTCGCGCATACCAAACACCACGACTGGATTTTTTGGCGGATGGCAAGGGTTTGCTCCAAAGGCAATGGAATGTCGTTATTTGATGCCAAATGACTGGGTCTCACCGCATCATCGCGGCGCATGACTGAGGGATCCAGAGTTCATCGGGAAGCCACTTTTTTGCTTCAGTGAAGTCCCGAAACGAAGGGAACTGTCGCACCAGCCAAGATGTCGGAATCACAAGGAGAGCAAGGCAACTTGCCTTGGTTCAGAACCACAGCTACCGTCAGCTACCGTCAGCTACCGTTGTGTTCTAGGTCATTTCAGGATCACCTTGATTGCTATCTTCGGAAGTCAAGTCATATCTTGTGCAGCTCACAGCCAACATTGATCGCAACAATAAGCTGTAAGGTTTGTTGTTAAGGGATATCCCCTCTTGACAGCATCATCCCCCTAATGCAGGTCGTCAGCCAGGTCTTGACAAAATCTGACTGCTGTAGCTGACACTCTGTGCCACTCTGTTCATGGATGTCTTTGGCGTGCCTTTGGTGGCACCAACTTCGTCGTATCATCGACTTCTCTTGGATCCACCGGAAACCTTCGTCTCACATGCGGAGGAGCAGTTCAGGGATGGAGGACGGTTGAAGTATTCCAAACCTGATCGGTTTTAAGATGAGGAAGCCCCAAACCAAAGGGTTTACATGATACTCTTCTCCTTTTCCCAGTGGTTTGTCTCCCAATTTGACCGAACATCGACCTGTTTCGGACAAACAAATAGGAGCTTCTGCACGGCGGGGAGGATGTACCTGCTTTGGCTTCATGAAGAACGTTCTCAAGGTCTGTAGCAAGATGCACGAGCCATTTGCTCATCCCCTACACACACACACATCTGGATCCAGAGATCTCTGGTTCCCAACTCTTGAACCGCCTTGAAGGAGACCACTATTGGACTGCCAAGAATGTGAGCTATTTCGACACATATGTGACAGAAGCTGCTTCCATGGGCACCAGGCGCCTCTACTTCTCCCTGATGCGGTTCTGCCGAGTCCTTGGTCATTGCAACAAGCGCTTCAAGCATGTGAGCGAGCAGTTGTGGACAGGACATACGCCTGCGGTGCCTTTACCCTGAAAAAGAAGTGGACATGACATTATACACCTATACATGTACATAGATCTTATGGTTGAAACCAATGAGTGTTAGTGTACGTCTAGGATTTGCCACTCAGTTCATTTACTCCCAGAGTCCAAGGCATGTTTCTTTTCAGTTGGCTTGCATGATGAGGCGAAGCTGTCGCAGAGCGCATTGGGCGTGTGCCTCCGCGGCATTCAAGCATTCAAAGTGCGGAAAAACTACTTCACGGAAAAACTTGCAGAAGATGCCTGGGGAATGATCACAGAAGCTCTGCAAAGCTACCAGAGCCACTTAAGGAGCATTGTGGACATTCTGCAGCAGAGGAAGGGATTCAATGTCGCTGTGTGGTTGCTTGTCTAGAATTGGTTTGGTATGTTGCAGAATCACAAGTGACTTCAGTGACTGAAGCTCACTGAAGAGTCCGGGCGTCTTCCTTCTGGGGCCGGGAAAATCCGCCATTTTTCTTTTAATCGAAAGGCTCCAGGCGTCCATCGCGGTCGCGGCGGCGCTGCGCGACTACGGCACCTCCGTCTTCGAAATGGCTCGTCTGCGGCAGATCTATCAGCTGCCACCGTGGCCGTGGGTCTTTCACGCTCGCCCAGGGACCATGAGATGGCATGTGCTTCAACAGCTGATCATTGATTACCACATGCCGAAGCCTCGAGTGGTTGAACTGGGTGTGGAGCGCGGCATTCTCAGTGAGGAGCTCTTGAAGGTGTGAGGGGAGCGAAAAAACAATTCCTGTGGTTCCTCCTCAATTCCTTCCGTTTTCGTAACACCGCTTTGCCTAATGGAGGCTTGCCAGCCAACCAGGTCGACGAGTCTCAGAAAGAGATGTCATGACATTTTGGGGGTACAATGATATTGCCTGTAGAGCCGTCGGGTTTCACAAGAACATCCCTATTTTGGAGAAAGGCCTGCAAGCTAACCAACATCCACTGTTACAGGGAATGGTATATACTCAATGTAATGAAGTTGGCTTGGAGCTTCAATGGCATTGTGAGTCACTGTGTCGGACCGACGCTGACGTGGTGGAACACCCGGACCAGCTCGCCACTATGAAGAACTGGTGTTTCACAGTGGTTCCAGGGGCAAAACTGGAGCTGGAAGGAACTGGTGGAAGGACACAAGACGGGCTGGAAGGAAGGTAAAGATGTCGGAAAGTGGAACTAGACAGAATCCATCTCCTGGACAAGGGGATGGACCCGCTTCTTGTACAGCGGACCGGGTATTTGGATTTCTGATAGGTGATGATGGTGGTGCAGGAGGTTCTCTGTGAACTATAGGGAATTGGAAATTTGACAAGGACTAGTAGATGCCTCCCATAATAATGACATTCCAAGTAGATGATATCCAGCAGCTGTTCAGAGGCAACAACTCAGACAGTCCTGGAGCTTGGTAACCATGAGAAAAAGGAGTACGGTCTACAGTACAGCATGGCTATATCTCAAGACCAGAGAACTCTCTAAGACAAAGCAACTCGAAACTCCAGACCATTTGTCCAGTAGGGACAGTATACATCAGTATACCCAGACCGAATGGTTGCAGAGTCCACAAGGATTTTACAGAAGCCCTAATAGAGTCGATCGTTGGATCAACGAATGATCACGCATCATCCAGGTGCCCACATTGAGTCTACTGGGTATTGATCCATACATTTACAACAATGAGTTCTACTCTTCGTCCCATCGATTTGATGCGCAACCTCACTATGATGCCGCAGCCCTGGTCCCTGGCGTCCGCGCGGACGCGCGCGCTGCGCGGCTGTATGTGGGGACTTCGCGAGAGGCGGCGGAAGATGACACGCTGAAAGGCGAATGGTCTTCGATTGATTTGTTGTTTATTGATGCTGACCACAAGATGATGTCAGTGCTGGAGGAGAGAAGATATGAGAATGGGACGCTGATAGGGATCTAGCATAACCTCAGATTTGGGTGATTTGTTTGCTTTTGAAGGGAGGTGGGGTCTTTTTCTAGCCAGTTTTTTTCAGGTAGTGAAGTGCAATGACAGCTATGAAATGCCAATGATCAGTTGCGGACTGTCTGTTGCGCCCCACTGCCGTTCCAGAAATACATCTTGGGGTACGGGCTATGAAATACCCGCACCCTTCACGTTGCAGCACCTCACCCGCGCTGCGGCCCGCGCCAGGACTTGAACCTGTGGTATTCTCGTGTGAGGCCGGGTGGCTTGATCGCCGGTCATGACTTTGCTGTAGCTCACGATGGTGTGCAGCGCGCAGTGATCCACTGGAAGCCCGTTGGTCGGGTGCTACATCTGAGCCACGATGATGTTTGGTGGTTCGAGAAGAGCGACGCAGACTTCAACCAAAGCCGTTCGAAGAGAAGACAAAAGGGAGCTGTTGGAAGAGACGTCACGAAAGCTGCAGTGGTGGTACAGCTCTTCCAAGTGGGATATTTCTAGCGGCCATCCCCCCAACTGTACAAGGCCATTTTGATCACCAAACATACACCATTTACCACCAATGAGCTCACCGGGCTCACCAAAGACAGATGGTTGTAAAGACAGATGGTTGGCTTCTACAACTGGCTTTTGATGGCGAAACAGTCTCTAAATCCAGAAACGAAGCAATTGGAAGGGCCGGGTAGATGTGCATTCTTCTTGCTCCTAGCTGAATGTTTGGAGCGCAACCTTTGCAACCAAGAGGGCAGATGTAGATCAGATGTTTGAATTGTTCAATGTATGTGTTTCATGGTGTACTAAGATACCTGAACGGTCTTCGTATGGATTGCAAACTTTGGCACATCACACCCGTTGGGTTCTCACCAAGTCAAGCAATTTCTTTACTACTCTACTCTGAGCGGGCTTTGGCTGGAAACTGTCTGACAGCTGTGGAGTGGGTTACCAGATGCGCCAAACCACCCTTGAAAACATCTGGTGTGGAAAGAAACTAGCATCGCAAGGTGGGTCCCATGGCTTGTTTACGCAAACATCAAATAATCAGCAAGCACTGTGTTTGGAAGAACATCATTAAGAACACACCGTAGAAATTACAGTAAGTCCTACTTCTTGATCTTGCGGGATCATTTACATGTGCTGATGCATTGTATTGAGTTTGTTGCTTGAATCATGTGCAGTCCACTGGTTGCTTTGTTCTTGGTCCTCAAGTCCAGGTCAGAATGGCTGCCAGTGGATCCAACATCAGAGGGTCTGAATACGGCACGTCCCTGCACGGTTTCCATTTAATGGTGCATGTGAAAATGGTTTCATCCATTTATATAGTTGAACTCGAACTCGCCAAGCACATACAGTAGCAAGTTGAATATGTTAAAATGTGTTTTGGGTCCGCTTCTCTTAGACTCTTGCAGGGACCTTTTTGGGGTATCAGAAGCATGTAAACAGAGATTAATTGTCAAGATTGCTGTGGCCGGTGGTTAGTCGCGCCACCAAACGTTTGCAGATTATATATACATATATATATATATATGGAGTCTTGCCAGTTCCATCACATGAACTATCATGAATCTTGTTTGGAACAAATGGAGTTTCGGCCCTGTCACCGCCCGTGTGTGGGGTGACTGGATGAAGGGCCAACCTGGGCACCGGGCCAAGGCTGCATTGCATCAAGCAGCAAAGGCTGGGCCCCTAGCTCGAAGACATCGCCCAAGTCTCGAGCGCTGTTGTGTGCCGATGTGCTGAAGACAGCTGCAAAAGAAGAATTGGAACTCCAAATCTACAAGAATTCTTTCCAGTAGGCTGGTTGCAAGATGTTGCAAGGGGAGGACATCCCAGTTTGGACATCCCACTTCGGAAGTCTTCCCCCCCCGTCGCCGGCCGCAATCGGCATGTGCCTGCAGCACCGGGGTGAACCGTCACAGCAGCGGATCCGTTTCGTTGCGGCCACGCGGCAGCGCAACAGTGCCAGGGATCCTACCTTGTTGGACTTCCTTCCATACCACTTCCTCCTGGTCAGTGCAGGCGCGGATGGGATGTGTATATATGTATTACAGTGTCGAATGTCGGAGCTGGTTTTGGCGCAGTCTGGTGGAGTCCGAAGCTGGGACTTCTTTCGACCGATCTCGCAGAGCCAAACGCCGCTTCTTCGTTCGACCCTCAACCCCAATCCGACCGCGTCAACCGCTGTCACCCCGCGGCGTCGACGGCGTCGTTGTCTCCCGTGGACTAGGAGATCGAGGTGATCTCACCTGGCGCGACATCACCCATGGCACCGAGGCGCGGCGCGTGAGCTCGCCGCTCGCGCCCGTCGAGCACCGGGTCGGAGCGGCGACCGGGTCGGAGTGGCGCTCGGTTGGGGCGGGGCGAAAAGTGAAGTCGCTGCGTGAAAAGGCGGGATGGGGTGGGATTCTTCTCTTGCAGGTCTGCAGCGTACGTGAAAAGAGGTAGAAAACAGGAGCTGCACAGTGGCCAGCATTGAGGATGAGAGGGTGTCCTAAGTCTGTTTGAGCCTTTCCAGAGTTTGTGTAAATGTCCTGAAGAAGATTCTCCTATTGATCTGCCAGTCTACTGGGCTCGACCAGGTTCTCACAGGAACTCCAGCATCAACTCTGGATGGAGAGCAGAAGCTAAGAGATGCTAAGAGTACTTGAGTCTTAAAGTGCCAAAGGTTGTGGAGAAAAGCTTGGAGGAGAAGAGACAACTTGAAGTCTAGTGGTGTTTCCGCTGCTAAATCGTCAACTCTTGCGGAGCCCCAAACAGTCAAGTGTCAACAGTCGCTGTCGATCCGAATCATGGTCCAACCGTCCAGATCTCCAGCCACCAGTAGAGAGATGTAGCACACGTATGCAGCACAAATCGTCTTAATTTGCACCACTACAAAGCTGGATACTCCAAAGCATAGTGCTTGAAGATTTCCAAGCTAGTCTCTAACCTCTTGCATCTGTGGGGTCCTCCGACCTTGTTTACCTCGCTATACCTCGCTTGCACGGAGCTACTCTCTTTGTTCCTTCAATTGTTCAGCGGGGCGTCTTTCGCCAGGCTGCCAGACCGTCATAGAGTCCTTGTATTGCACGAGCCAGGTTTTGCAACATGCGAAGGTCCGCGAGGAAAATGAACCATACAAAGTCAAAAAAACAGACGGACGGACGGACGGACAGACCGACCGACCGACCGACGGACGGACCCACCAACCAACCAACCAACCACCCAACCAACCAACCAACCAACCAACCCACCCACCAACCAACCAACCAACCAACCAACGAACTAGCTAACTAACTGACTGACTGACTGACTGACTGACAAACTAACTAACTAACTAACTAACGAATATGAGATATCCCCATGGATGGTATCCTCAACCCCCTTGTTCTACGCGTTCTTCCGTGCGTTTCGGTGTCTCAGGTGGCCGAGCATCGGACGAAGATGGGCCCGGCCACGCGGGGGTCCTCGTCGGGAGTCGATCGGTGACTGTCAAAGCGAGATGGAGCAGTTGGTCACGCGGTGTGAGGTCACGCAGTCTGGGCAGTCTGGGTCAGTTGTTTGGTTGCTCATATACCCTGTCTTTTTGTTCCCCCTTTACACTCCCTGAAAGAATGCATGGGAGATGATGTGGAGTGATGTGGAGTGATGGCATCACCTGACTGTTGGGTATTCGGAGGTCATGTTTATCGGGACTCGGGGCCATTCCATCCACTTCCAGGAATATTTCAGGGAGTGTCGAACGCTACATGATTTGAAGGTTGGGAGAAAGATGTTCCCCTGTCTCAATCTGTTCTTTTCCAGACAAAGTGTCGCTTCAAAAAATGACATAGACCTCTCAAAAAATAAAAACATACACTGTGGCTTGAAAGACCATCCGTTCGCAAATGGGTGCGCCCAGCGCGAAAAGCGTAGCGATGGAAGTCCACCCAGGTGCTTGCGGCAGAACCCCAAGAATGCCGTGATGCACTTGGGCCACGACAAGGCGCGAGTCATGGAGTCACGTCTGGGACAAACTGGGTGGCAAAGGCACCGGTGCGAACGTTTGGATCCATCTTAAGAGCCGGAGGATGCTAAACTGTATCATTTGAGACCGATACTTCTCTTCGGAAACTGCCTTAAAACACCCCGTGGGTATTTTGGGTTCGACTTCATGGACGCCAGTTCTCCGCACATCGTTCTTCAGCTAGATGCCGGGTTTTACACCATGTGGGTTCACAACTTACCCTCAAAAAAAGTGAAGGTCTCACAAGTTCGCGCCAACATGGTACATTTCTAGACTTCTCTTATGGTACATTTCCAGGACTCCCAGCTTTGTCTCCGGATTCGACACCGTCGTTGTCTCTCGGACCGGTCGTTGTCACCGACCGAGGGCAGCGTGACCTTGTGGACTCCGTCCGGCGCTCGACGATGGCGGTGGGGTCTGTTGGGTCTGGTGGGCGGTGGGGTTTTTCCGTCGGTTTTCGCGTTTGGAGCGGGAACATGGGGGTCTGCTCAGAGCCATCCGTCCATGCTGTTTCCGGTTTGATGAGGGGGGTAAAATGTGGTCAGGGCGCCTGATGAGTCGATTCGGCTATCTATGGTCGTCCATGGTAGACATGACATCCAATCATGGGGTGGAACCAGGGAAGATGAGGATTGGAAGTGACTGAATTCCCTTCGTTTTGTGCAGAGACCTACAATTCAGAAGTTGACAGTTTTTGACGTGCGTCGCAAGATGAATGCCCAACAAAGAAAGCACCTGAAATTCCAGCTGCGTGATGTGTGATGCTGTGTGTCATTTTTCCACGTTTTGGGGTTCAGGCGGAGACCTTTTTCCGTGACACCCCTTTCGGGCGTCCATGACAGTTCGTTGGACGCTGAAGTGGCAGTGTTTGCGAGCAAAGAACACACCCCTACCAGGCCTTGAGCTAGGACCAGCACGGAGGGTCGAGTGTTGGGCCGTTTTGGGCATTGGGATGACTGGATGGATGCTGAAGCCTAGATGGATAGATCACGTTGTGCCACTACCCAGTTCCTACCCTAATTAGATGAACCATCCATCAGGGTTGCCATCGTCTTAATCCAACCCATCAACGTAAATCACCCAAAGAATGGTAGATCATTGTCTGCCATTCTTAATATCACAAGTGTCACAAGATGAAGACTAGTCTTCCAGGTTCTCCCCGCAATTCCTCCATTCTTCATATATCTTCCATCCCATGCTGTTTTGGAGCGTCCGACCCCCGCATGGGAGCGCATTCGGACATCCGCCCACCCATGGGCATAAAAGGCGCATGTTGAAGCACTAAGGACCATTAAGGAGCCAGTGGTGAAGATGGCCTGTCACAACGCCAAGGTGGAGCAACCGCGAACACGCGTTTAAGCGTGCTTCCACGGGTCGTGCTCCACGGGTCGTGTCGACAAACTTCAACGTTCCTGAGCCAAATGCGAGGCTTTCAATTCGGAGGTTGTGAAGTTGTATTGCAAGTCCTAACAATGCTGCCGCAACCTGACAAAGTAAATAGAGCAGCCAGCCAGCCAGCCAGCCAGCCTGCCTGCCTGCCTGCCTGCCTGCCTGCCCGCCTGCCCGCCCGCCCGCCCGCCTGCCTGCCCGGACACTGTCAGGGGTGTTCCATGAGTGAAGTTGCATCAGCATGGGGCCAGTTCTAGTCGTGTGGCAACAATGCCAGCATCAATCTGTTTCAGTGTTGTGAGTAGTTTGTGGACATCGCAGGTGACTGCGCTGGCAGTGACTGGCAACTACATGGCAGGGAGCCTATCTTCAAACTTCAAACGAGCCTGAAATCCCTTGGCAAGAAGAGATGATCAGTCAAGTCAAGCCACGCCGTCTCAAAAAGTCTTAACATGTTTCGACTGACTGGCCTTTTTGAAAAGAAGTTCCTTCTACATGCACATCTTCCAACTCATTGGCCAAAAAGCTTGGTTGTTTTTTGTTGGAGATCTGGGTGTATCGAAGCGACAGACCCCGAACCAAGAGCACAAGACATTTGCAAAGGAAGGTGTGCAGCTGGTGGATCTTCCCTTGTTGGGTGCAAAGAGCCCCCTCGACTCTGGGGTGAGTTCACCCCAGGGAATGCTTGTTCCACAGTTCCACACAAAAATGGGATGGCGGAATTGCCTATCCCTCCGCAGAAAAGGACATCATCAGTCTAAGATCACGTGGTTTCTTCCGGTTGTCACCTTTCACATCCACTCTGGTGCATCATCCGACCGTTTCATCTACTAGGCTTCGTCCCCAGGGCTTCAGGTCAACTCATCGGGTCTGCTGAATTCAGTTCTCTTCGTGACCGAGAAGGTTCGGTCCCATGCAGTGTCATCACAGGTCATCACAGGTCTATATATACTCTCTCCAGAACTTACGAGGAAGTAGTTTTCCTATAATATTCCTCGTTTAGCATTCTACTGGAGGGTCTGCATGTTATATTTTTTGTGTAAGTGACCTCAAACCCGGAGGATGAAAATGGTCACTTTGAAGAGCAAGCTTCGGGAACATGTCCTCGTGTCTCCCACCGCTTCCATCGCTGCCGTCTCGGGGGTCATGAGGTCAGAGCCCGTTCTCTGGTGTCGCAGTCGCTTGGGCCGATCAGTCCCTGTCCCGAGACCTCGCAAGAGTAGGGTGGGGATCTAGAACTTTCCCTTTGAAGGGCACGGAGGGTACGCACGAGCTCGCTGGCACTGGCTTTTGAAACATCTCTTTGGATGGTTGACCTCTCCACGAGGTCACTGCTGGCGCAGAAGCAAAGTGGAAGGCTGGGGCGAAGGTCGAGAGTCAAGAGATCGGCAGATCGGCGTGGATGCGTGGATTTTCGCCTCACCAACTCCGGACCAGCGGGTTTTGGGAGGAGGAGATGACAAGCAGGTTCACCCTCAACACAAAGACAGGTGGCAGATGTCAGACGATTTCAGCAAAAACGCTGCTCCCCAAAGCCTCCCCACTTCTGTTCTTCTGAGGGTCCATACTCGATGCTTGGCCCACCCTTCTTTGGGATGTTTTTTGGCTCGTGCTTCACCTGCGCCTTCCCCGGCACCTACTTGGTGGACCCCAGACAGGAGTCCAACGCTCCACCGCGGTCCGCGCGACCGTCCGCGACCGTCCACGCGCGACCAGAGACTGGGTCGCGGCGGGTCGCGTCGGAGACTCTCGACCGAGGTTTGGGATCTGCGCACCTACAAGGAGCTTCACAGCTACTACAGGCAGTTCCATGAGTGTTTTTTTACCTATTATTATGCTTTTTGTCTGGTCCGGTTTTCCTGGGTCTTCCAGTGTCGAGTCTTGGAAGATCTGGCCCTTCACAAAAAAATAGAAGTATATCATGGCAGGTCAGTTTGTGTGCAATACACCCACAGAGCGATCTGCGGGGCCCGGTGACCCAAAACGGCGCCTTTCGGTGACCAAAACAACTTGGTAGGTAGGTTGATTGATTTGGGCTCAAAGCGTTTGTTGCTGCTGACAATCCTGACCATCCCAGAAGGTCTTTACATTTGGTTCACTCAAGACTCATCGGACCTGAGCGGAATGAGCCACCCAAATTCATGGTCTCCAACCAGAGGCATCACGATGAAAGGCAATCAGTCTTTGACCTCCCCAGAACAAAAGTGGAAAACCTTTAACCTTTGTTGAAGATTGGTTTCCCCGCTAAACAAGAACAGGTGGGCAAAGGTTAACCTTCTTTTCCAGGGAAACGACTCGGGAGGCAGTTAATGAGGTTTTTTGCTGTTGCAATTCATCTCCCAAGACCACGAGGCGTGCGGACTTTGGGACACACTGAGCTTGCTCAGCTTACCATGAAGTCATCACAGCCCAGTGGTCCGACACCTGATCAACAACAACCAAGTCAGTGGCCCATTCAATCCACGCCTTTCTGAGCAGGGCCTGCGCTCCTGCGGGTTTTTGCGGCATCCAAAAACGCTCCTCCACATCCCGTGAGGCAGCACGGCCATGGTGTCAACAGCATGGATGTGCCAGTAGCTTAGCTTCCTCCTAGAGAGGCGGGTGTGTCCAACCCACATTCTACCAGTAAGCCCAACTTTCGCCCCGTTGGTGGAGTAGGGGATTTGATCCTTTTGGAGACCCCAAATTCTGGTGTTCAGCCGAAGTTCACCTGAGGCTTGACCAGATGAGTGGACCCATGGGTCTTCAATCAACAGGGCTACTCCGATTTTCCAGTAGCGGATTTATGTGGTGAACCTCAATGGACCCGTGCTTGAAGGTTCTTCCCAGAGATCTGATCCGAACTATTCACTGAGACATTGCTTCATCTCAGACGGACGAAACTGGGCCAATGATATCAATTCGATCTCCCCAAGTCTTTCAGAGAGTCTGAAAAACCACTGGACCCAGCCCCTCCCCCGTCCCACCAAAGCCCATCTAGCAAAGCAGTGATGCCGACAGCGACGTCGCGTGGACTGGCCACAACGACTGCCTCAAAACGATTTAGCTCGGCTCAAGGGCTGGCGACCCAAGGGTTACCCAAATTAACCAGGTTGGTTTAGTCAAATTTACCTCGGGTTGGTCTATTTGGTTCTTGATCTTGATCCAAACTCCCCGGCGCCAAGACCGAGCCAATGGGGCCCAAGTGGATGCCAACCCAATGGTTCCAGTCACTTCCGAAGATACCAAGACACACACCAAAGACCGTGAATAGAAGATGTTGACATGCACAATCATGCCAAAATAGAGGTCAAACACACACTTCGGAAGGAAGCTCGTAAGAGTGCAGTGAAGATCCAGAATGCGCACCGCACCGCACGGCACGGCACGGCATGGCACGGCACACGGCGCGGCGCACGGCACACGGCACGCGGCGCACGGCACACGGCACGCGGCACGCGGCACGGCGCACACACACACACACACTCTTACTTGAGAGAGATGCTCATGAGCGACATTCAGAGTGGTTCTCGGTGAGCATTAGCACTTTACTTTCTAGTTTCTGCAATAACTAGATTAAAGCGCTCAAAGACCTGACACCTTTGACATGGCCCTGTGAAGAACGGCAAGGCGAAAAGTCCACCAAACAGATCGAAACCGTATTGTTTAAATCAGCTGGTGATCAGCCGTGATATCCTAGTTTACTGCATGGAGCTTTGTTGGCGACAGCCATGCAGCTGCTGATGCAGCACTTCGAATAGGTGCAAATAGTAGAGTAGTGGGAACGGGCACCGAGCCGAGTCGGTGCAGCTAGAGTAGTGCGACATCAAATAAAGACCTGAATAGCAACCTAACAAGCCTGTAGAAAAGAGAGAAAGTGAGAGAAGAGCAAAAGAAAAGAGGAGAGAGTAAAAGATCATTTGGTCTGCCAAGGTGGCAAACCTACAATGCACATGGACCCCTGTCGAAGAACCAGTCGAGCCTGGTAATAAGCTGCTGTCGGTGCACCTTGATTTACGACCTAACAAGCCTTTAGAAAGGAGAAAAGGTGAGAGAAGAGCAAAAGAAAAGAGGAAGGAGTAAAAGATCATCTGGTCTGCCCAAGTGGCAAATTATAGTGCAGATGGGACCGGGAACCCAGTCGAAGAACCAGTCAAGGCTGGTAAGAAGCTGCTGTCGGCACACCTTGACGTATAAGCGTATAACCTAACAAGCCCTTAGAAGTGAGAAAAAGTGAGAGAAGAGAAACAGACAAGAAAAGAGGAAAGAGTCAAAGATCATCATGACAGCGCAGATGGGACCGAGAACCCAGTCGAAGAACCAGTCGAGGCTGGGTACGAAGCCGCTGTAGGCGCACCTTGGTTTACTGTACAACCTAACACGCATATTGAAATGAGAGAAAAGAGCAAAAGGAAAAAGAACAGAGTAAAAAAATCATTTGGTCTGCCAAGGTGGCAAAGTATAAACAATTGGAAATTATTGAAGCAGTTGGAGCAAGAGCTAAGAGGTGACAATAATGATTTTTTGTGTGTGAAACTTGTTCAGGCATTGTTTACAGTAAGCCCTGCAGTGCGATTCAGAATGCAGGGCGGAACCATGAGCGCAAGATTCGAGCAAAAAGTTCAGGCACCCCGGACGGGGATCACACAACATACTGCAGTGGGAAGATGGCACACGGCGCGGCGCACACACACACACACTTAGATTGATGCTCGCAAGAGCTGAATCAATTGTGAAGTGCCACTTTACACGCAATTAGACCTTTACACGCAGTTAGACATTGACTTGCATTAGCACTTTACAAGAGCTGAATCAGTTGGTGAAGTT